GTATCTATGAAGCGCCTTGAGGCGACTTTTGTTGGGATTTGGCGCTATATAAATAAAATTGAATTGAATTGAATACTGTATTACTCAGATGTATTAATACACATTGTCCTGGGATTTATTAAATTGTGCACATTCTTAGGAACAGAAAAATCCAAAACAAAATAAAACATTGGCACACTCTGGATGATGTTTTTTTTTTTTTTTTAATTAATTACTTTTTTAAACTAAATCTGTTTAGTCTTAGTTGACGTCCTTAAATGTCCCTCATTTTAAATTCAAGTTTCGTTAAACTTGAGTAAAAGCTAGAAGTAATACTTAATTTTGTTTTATCGTTTCAAAAATTAAATTAATCTTTTGTTATCAAAACTGTCTGTTGTTAAGTGAAGGACTGAAACACAGCTGGTTTTAAATAAAAGGATAAAAAAAAAAAAAGAAGTGGTATCCAGTAACTGCTTTAATGAGGGCACAAACCTGCTCTAATCTGTCTTCGATAGCAGACAGGCTGGCGTGTTGGAAGCTCTCCGGCTCCTCCTCTGTGTATGAAGGCTCGTCCACTGAGTACTGACTTGTGGGGTCGGGGGCTCTAAAATCTGGCGGTCCTTCAGACGGAGCGGCGTGTGAAGCTACATCAAGAGCGCTGAAATCTGAGTCTGTAAAACTGCGATGAGAGGCATCTTCCTCCTCGGCATCGCTCCGCGGCGGGCTGTAATTCGCCTGACGAGGTGACCTGGGTTCAGGTACGTGCATTATTGGCGGGACTTCTCTGACTCCGTACGCGTCATCGCTTTCCTCGGGTTCTATCGAGGGGCTGTGGTGTTCAAACGCTGGCTCGGATGATCGAGCTAAAGCAGCTCCAGCTACCCTGGAGCCCCCGGGGACCTTGGCTGTATTCTGACCAGGGTAAGCCTCCTCGAGTTCCTCGTTGTCAGTGTAGGCGTCATCTGTGAAGCCCTCTCCATCGGTGTCCTCAAGGTCACTAGCAGCACTGAGGTAGTCAGTCTGGTTCTGGTCCAAAGCATCCAAATCTTGTTCTCCACCACTCTCCAACTGTGCACACAGAGAAATCAAACAGCTTTAGTTATTAGTGTTTAACTAACTTTACAATAAATAATCAATGGAAAAAATATTAATTAAAACAATTTGTTTTGTAAAATATATCACCACTATATCAAACTCTGTATTAAAGAGGGAAGAAACTGCGGGTGCTGCACGCTCTTATGATACCATAATCTGCTTTATTCTCATTTTTGACTAACGAAACCATAAAGTAAGAAGTGAACTTCAGAAAAAGACGTAAAACTCTAGACCATAGGTGTCAAACTCTGGCCCGCGGGCCAAATTTGGCCCGCAGCCTAATTACATTTGGCCCGCGAAGCCATACCAAATTACTATTAGATCTGGCCTACTGGTATTATACAGCTTTAGATGTAGGCTGCCGGGGGATTCCCATGATGCATTGAGTTTTTCCTTTCCAGTCACCTTTCTCACTCACTATGTGTTAACAGACCTCTCTGCATTGAATCATATCTGTTATTAACCTCTGTCTCTCTTCCACAGCATGTCTTTTATCCCGTCTTCCTTCTCTCACCCCAACCAGTCGCAGCAGATGGCCCCGCCCCTCCCTGAGCCTGGTTCTGCCGGAGGTTTCTTCCTGTTAAAAGGGAGTTTTTCCTTCCCACTGTTGCCAAAGTGCTTACTCATAGGGGGTCATATGATTGTTGGGTTTTTCTCTGTATCTATGAAGCGCCTTGAGGCGACTTTTGTTGTGATTTGGCGCTATATAAATAAAATTGAATTGAATTGAATTGAATATCTATATTGTTTAGTATTAAGCTTTGCTTGTTCCATATTCAGTTTTCCAGCAAAACTTATTTGAGTCCATAAGAAAAGATTCATTCTTATATCTGGAGGAAGATTTTTTTCAATAAATATTAATGTTAGCCCGCAACTTTGTTCCAGTTTTGAATTTTGGCCCACTGTGTATTTGAGTTTGACACTCCTGCTCTAGACCATAAACTCATCAGGAAAGCATTTACACAGGTTAGCAGTCAGAGAAGCCAGAGGGTCATTTTCTCACAGACTTCCATAGAACTGCATGTCTTTTTGCAGCTAGTGTACCCCAGCAAAGATGGCCTGTCCATCTTTTATGTACAGTCTTTGGGACCACGCAGAGTGCTATGCTTCATTTTGTTTTTGTAGCCGAGAATTTTTTTAAAGCTGGTTCAATCACACCAGCATCACAAACTCATCATCATAAGCTTTGTTTTTAATTACAGGTGCAATTTTTGTTTTTCTTTTTGCAGATTTCTAGAATTTCACGTTGGCTCGCTTTTTGGTCAATAACGAACTGTAGTTCAAACTACTGTTTCTTGTGGCTTAATATGCGTGTAAATTAACTAATAATCAGGTTTATGGATCATTTGAGCCACACAGCACTTGGATTAATAAACAGAAAGATGTAAAACTACATCATGAGAGTCGGTGCTCTCATTAGATTGCTATAAGAACTAAAGCAATAAATTAAGAAAAAAAACAACAACCAAAAAACACCACATCGATCTGTATATAAAATAATATCTCATAATCGCTTTAGTGTACAGATGTGTGTGTGAAGAGAAGCCGTGTGTTGTACCGTGACTTCAGACACCCAGACGGGTTTGGTCTGCTCGTGGCGAATCTTATTCTTTAGACTTTCGTACCAAGAGTGGGAGCTGGGATCCAAGTCCACTCGAGCTGAAGGGGGAAAAACAAAAAAATAAATCAAAAGAAGTAAACATTTTAACTTGTACCAGCAGACAGAGAAAAATTTATTTCCTCATAGATGTACTGGAAAAAGCTTTAAGTGTTAAAATTACCCGAGAAAAGGTGGCTGCAGTGTTTTCTCATTTTGATGGCCTGTGAGTAAAGGCGTCTGGAGCTCTTGCTGGATTTGGGGCTGTACCTCTGCCTCATGGTCTTGACATCCTTGCGGTTGTGAGGGTCTAAGAACAAAACCATGGGGTGGTACTGGATGTAGTTGAGCCTTTCCACTGCAGTGGGAGTGATATCCAGCAGAGGGTGCTTATCCTGGGAAGAGAGAGGGAAAAAAATCAAAGAGGAAATACCAAAGACACAGCTGCTGTTATTGTGTGTGTATATATATATATATATATTTATATTTCTTCATACATTCTTATATATTTCTATACTGTGTATTTTGTTGTACAGTTATTTTATTTTCAACTTTAATTTATATATTTTATCTTATTCTTTCCCAGTTAAATTTACCCTTCGTTCTAATTTGTGTTGTACAGTTATCTCATTCTTAACTTAATTTTTATATTTTATTTTATTTTATTCCTTCCTGGTTAAATTTACCCTTTTTTATTTTCATATTTATTTCCTATCTTATTCATAGCCTTCTCTTTTTTTCTTTAGGTCACGAGCAGTTGTCCAAGCATTTCACTGCATATCGTACTGTGTATGACTGTGTATGTGACAAATAAAAAATTTGAATTTGAATTTTGAAAACATGACTGTAAACAAATGTAATGTTACTGCTCACCTTCTCTGCTATTCTCCTCACAGTGTCCAATTTAATAACTGTGGAGCCGCCATCTGCACTTCCACTGCGAGGAACCATCTCTGTAGAAATATAACAACACCCCCAAAATATTTAATATAAAATAGAAGATGAGGAGAATAAGTGAAAAAGGAGGGAAATAATACTCAAGAATAAAAAAGGGGTATCAAAACTGCCCAAAACAAACCAACCTGCCACTTCATAATCATCAGGCATCTCTCGTGCCAGCTTCTCCATGGCAATGTCATTAAGAGGTCCCAGAATAACAATTGGCCGCTTGAAATTAGCTGGAGAAAAACCAGTAAACGTTGTTAAACCTGGACCTTTATGCATGAAACAAAGTATCTGTGTGAGGGTATAAATGCCAACCTTCTCTGAGCAGGACTCTCTCATAAGCTGGGAATTTGCCCTGAATGGTGAGCTGCAGCAGGTCTTCGCGACTCCGTCGCATGTTCTTCTCGTTCTTCTTATTCCCTCGGAGCCCCCGTAATTTCCAGAATTCGGCTCTCGGTCCGGATGCCTGCCTCTCTCCGGTCGCCCGCTGTGCCTTCTCGACGTTGGCCATCTTCTCTGCCCTGCAGGAAAAGACGGCAGATGCAAAAACTGAAACAGTCCTCGTGGACGCAAATAGATCTTCATCTGCTTATCGTTTCCTTTCTCCTTACTTGATCTGATTTGGGATAGTGCCCTTGTCCATCTCGTGCAGGTCATTCCCCATGCGGATAGCCAACCAGTTGCCTATCTTTCCACGATGCATTGTGTCCACCACTCTGAACACCTCTCCTCTGGTGAAGCCCAGACCAATGGGGTTATCGGGGTCATGGTCAAAATGTGTGCGGATGTAGAAGTTGTCTCCCAGGTTGGACTTGAGGATCTTTTTGTAAACTGAAGATAGACGAAATACGATTTTGTGACTTGTGACACAACAGAAGTAATCTCGGTGTCATATTAAGGTTTTGCTCTTCACTTACTGTCCATCTTATGCTGCGTGGAGATTTCCACCCGTTCTCCTGTCCTGAGCTCAAGGAGGAAGTTGGCAGCTTCTTCTCGTGTGAAATGGCCAAAATCAACTTTATTAACCTGAAAAGAAGAAGAACAGGGATGAACTTGGACTCTGGTCTTTTTCTGTCATATTTAAAATATTAAAAAAAAAATGGACAGGTGTCAAATAACAATGTAAATGTACAGCTAGGGGCATAAGGTTTTGGACAGTGGTACATATTATGGTTTTACTCTGTACATATGACATGACGACGGCGATGACAACAACAACTATAGAAATGCAAATGAGCATAAACATCTCATTTAAACTAAAGAGTTTTTCTAAACTGGACAAGACGCTGTTAATCTATGCCGCCATAACCACTTCCATATAAGGTGTGCAAACAAAGGTCACCTGCATGATCTGGTCTCCCTCCTTCATCCCGTTTTCATACGCAGGGCTGTGTGGCTGGACTCCACCTACAAAGATCCCAACATCGTTGCCTCCCACGAGTCTAAGACCCAAACTGCTCTCCTTTATAAATGACACTGTCTTCACATCTGAGCTGTACCTAAGGGGAAACCGAAGGAATCAGATTACTGTTGCTATGACGCTAAGACACGGGGCAACGCTTTAAGCAAATGCGGCACTCACCCTGGAATAGATGATGGGTATGAATCTGGAGGCAGGGAATAGAGGGGCTCTTCTTCAGGTTTGGCTGGAAGAAATGCAGAGATGGTTAGACGCCTAAAAGATGTCAACTCATAAGAAAGGTTTGTTTATTTCAACCCACAGATCGAAAACTTATTTATGCTAATCATGCTACACATCCTGAGCCTTACAGTAGATGGGCGGGTTGTCCTTGACTGAAATCCCAGACCTGATGGTGCCGTTTCCATTTGCAGCACGAGGAGCACTTTGAGGTGGAGAAAACAGAAATCAGTAATATTGGTTATTTAAGAGAAAATACATTTCGGGCTGCCATATTTTAATCTGATTTTAATGAATTAATTCCTGATGTACCTGCGGTAACTGTTCCCCCGCTCAGAGCTGCCGGACCTCCTAAGATGTGAAAGCTCATCTGACTCAGAGGAATCTGGTTTTTAAAAAAAAATGAAAAGTTTAAGCAGGGAGACTTCAGTTTGTGAGGATTTTCTTTGGTTGTGGTGCTCTAATGCTTTTATCTAAAACAGAGAGAAAGAGAGGTTGAAGATGAAGCAAAAAAGTAATCAGCTGACCATCTGGAGGCGGTCTAGCGGGCGACGGGGCTCGATGAGGAGGTTCCTGCTTTACAGGCACTGAAGTAGGCACTCTGAGAGAAGAATGGGGGGAAAACTGAATTAAATTTCAGCCGTCATCTTGTTAAATGTTCCCTAAACATACGATGAGAAACGCAAAAGCCATAAATTGACGGTCAAGTTAGTGCATGTTAGTTATATCGAAATCTCGTGTGGTTTTCTAAGTCGGCAGTTTGAATATTATGTGATGCAATCACTGCAGGAAGTCATGTAATGAGCCCCCGTGTGCACAAAGCACGTTACTATCAGGCAACAGTTGTGTTTGCGGTAAGCATAAAAACCTGTCGGACATCCTCTCGGTGTGATTTCCCGCAGCTCACAGTGAAGCTGTAACTTGCATTTCTCATATTTTCACTTTCTCTTTCTACAGTTGCAGCTTTAAATTATTTGTAGTCTGTGCTAAAAGTGCAATAAATAAAACAAGTACTGTGCAAAAGTCTCGTATCACCACTTATTTCATGACATTTTTCTTGGAAAATGGAAAATGGGGATAGGGGGCAGGGATAGCTCAGTAGGTAGGGTGGTTGCCCCATGATCGGAAGGTCGGGGGTTCGACTCCACTGAACAGCTACCCTGAGGTACCCCTGAGCAAGGTACCGTCCCTACACACTGCTCCCCGGGCGCTGCATTGGTGGCTGCCCACTGCTTCACTGGGTGAATGGGTTAAATGCAGAGGAGTAATTTCCCTACGGGGACTAATGCATACACATTTACATTTACAATGGTTGAGGTAATTTACTGAAATGTGCAAACATACATGGAAATACAGTAAATAAGGCAAAAAAAAAAAGTTAAAATATGATTGAAAATTGGTTCTTTGCATTGCACTAGTTCTGGATGCTTCATAGGTCAGTGTTAAGTGGCTTAACAAATCAAAACCTTCCTCTGAAAATGGTCAGGTACAAGGACTGGACTGAAAACTTCAGAAAGACTAGAGAAGTGCTCGAGACTGCTTAAATAAAACAAAAAATACAAATAGAAAGCTCAAGACTTTTGCGCAATATAGCAGCATTAACCATCATCTTCAACTTTTGTGAATATAAATATTATCATATTAAAATGTTGTGGTTTTACAAAGGTGTCAGAGCTGCATCAATGCTAACAATGTTTCTGTTGATATGTGGTTGCTTAGCAACATCAAGAAATATGTGGTACAGATAAGCTTCAGGGGCCTAAGACATACCTGTGTGTCGAGTTTGGTCGCTTAAATTCCTGATCACGTAGGAGTTCATACTCAGACATGTGTGAGCTTTTATATTAGGATAGTAAACATAAACAAAACTGACAAACAAAATAAAATAATATTAATTTGGAAAGAGTCGGCTGCAGTGTTTATTTTTAGAAGCAGTTTATTAAACTGAGGGGTTTCATGTAGGAACCATTTTCCTTCGGAACAACAAGGGAAGCTGTAGGTACCGAAGGAAGTGACATTAACGTGACATTAAAGCACGATCCCCTCGTGTGTGCTTCCTTCTGACACAGTGATGTGGTCAGTGGGTGTAGCTCCCTTAGAGAGAAATCAGTTCCTATATGAAACTGATCTGATCTTCTTTTTCCTTTTTTGTGAGTAACCAGATGATGATTTCTGGGAAGTTTTTCAAGTGTATCTTTTGCTATGTTGAACAAAACGAGGCAAATGGTTCATTATAATCAAAAGAAGGTGGATATAAAAATAAATAAATAAAAAAAATAGGTGTTAAAGCATGAAGCACTTGAGGCACGACTCATGCGTTTGATGAGACAGTCAAAGTGGAAGGCGTCTCTCACCTGTATCTATTTCTGGCTGCTGAGTTTTTACTGCCGGTGGATTCCCTCTTGGGGACTGCCGCGTAACTGGCCTCGGATTCAGAGTCCGAATTCGCTGTGGAGATCAATAAGTCAACACTGTCTTTATGGAAAGTTTTATTATTTGTTAGATGACTCATGTGTCCTTTTAGATTCCAGGACTCCCACCGCTCACTACAAAACACACACACCTTTCTGTGGTGGATTGCTGGCAATGCTCCATTTTGGTGGTTCCACCTCTGGCTGCAGGGAAACATCTGGCAGGACCCTGGAAGAGAAGAGAGGGAGGTGGGAGTGAGGGAGGAGGAAGACAACAAATCTCAGTTACGTTTGGCGACGGGGACCAGCGGCTAATAGACGATTATTGATGAGAGGATGAGACTAAAATATTGAATATTCACCTTATTCTGTTTGAGGGAAGCTCTCTCTTTGGCGGTAAACTGCTTTGTGACTGATTGAAATTAGCCACTCTATTAAGTTTAGCTATTAGCTACGTGATTGTGATGCTCACTGTGAGATTCAAACATGCTGTATAACACATGCACAGTACGCAAAAATTGGAAAGACTTGATTTGAGTCTTAGGGAATTATTCTACGATATGATTGTTGCTGCAACGAGTGTCCTAGATTTAATCAACACTTCAGCCACATATAGGAGAGGACATGTTCAGTTTTATTTTATTGGTCAACAAAATTAAAGCACAGATTCTGTACACAGTCAAAAACAGAAAAATCAGACAAAATAAAAAGAAATTTCAAAATGAGACAAAGCACAAAATGAAAATCAAATTTAAACAACTCAAAAGAGCAAAGGTTAGGTAGTTTAACATTAAAAATAAAAAATATATATGATTAACTAAGTTTAACAACCAGAGAGCCACAGAGTCTGCTCAGTTTCCGGTCCGTGAGATCTTGTTGGGTTTCAGGTAGGTGTGGGGGTTTCATGTGTACCTGTATCTGCTGAGAGAGTCCTGACTGTATGTGGTGCTACGCCTCTGAGGAGGCTCAGAGAAGCCATCCGACTCGGAGTCAGAATCTGAGGAGAAAGAAAAGTGTTTACAGATTAATTTTATTAATATTTTGTTTTTAATTTAAACAGTAAACAACATATTTACTTCTGATTAATCTGCAGCTTTTCCATTGTGTGTTTACGTTCCCGAGATGCCTCAAATCTCCACAATTCAAAATCCAGTATCTTTAATGCTCATGTGTGGAATCACATTTGTACAACTGTTTTCAGATACAGTTTCTTTATTACCCAACATTATTTATGATTATTGCATCTGTCGTCTCTCCTTTCTTGGAAAATGGAAAATGAGACGATTGAATGAAGAGTTATACATAATGTTTTCCACCTTTATGCTTTGATCTACTCACTTATAAATAATGCTTTCAAAAATATTTACATGAATATTATTTTTTAGCCATCATTTCCTTCTATATTTGAAGTGTATTGCAATAATCATCCCTCAGCCTCTGCAGTGTTACATGCATTCATACGTGCACTGCTGGATTAATCCTCTTTTACTCTTCTACATTCATTCACTTACAAGCCATCCTATGTTTTCATGTGCATCTTTCATATTCTGCTCTGGCCTTAGCTTCA